AGAGTCAACCGTCAGAGGCGAGGGAGTTTTGTCTGCCGGTGGCGGCGAGGGCTCTGAGGGCGCACAGGGCCTGTGAGCGGACCCACAGGCCCGCTGCGGTCTGCAGGGAAAATGCAGACGGTGTTTATTTTTCACCGGAGCCCGCAGGAAGTAGGGGGGCGAGGGGGTGAGGGAGGGCAGCCCAGCCCTGCCGGGGCCAGCCTAGGAGCAGAGGAGACCTGCCCCGGAGCCCCTCATTTCCACCTCCTCCTGGCTCCAGGCTCCGAAGGAGAGGAGCGGTGCTAGGGCAGCTCCGTGAGCAGTTTCTAGCCGTAGGCTAACGAAAGTGTCCGGAAGGCCACAGACCACCTCTGGGATGGGGCATTTTGAGTCGGAAGGTGAAGAGCAGTAAAAGCCATGCACCGGCAGGAAGGATGGCCTCCCGGCCCCAGGGTCTCTGAGTCCTGGCCCTGTCCTCTGGTGCTGTAGCCCCGGGGCGGGGGGCATCCGGGCGGAGGCAGAGGGACAGGATCCTGGAGTGTCCTGACCGAAGAGTATGGACTGCTGTTGAGCCTTCTGATTGTGTGCGTTCCACCACGCCGGGAACGCAGGGCCCAGCTCTGTGCTTGGCACTCTGCCCCCAGGTAGGAGAGGCGATCACGGATGTGCCGTGGAGATCCTGAGAGCCTGATGAGGACGTTCAACCCAGGCCTGCCCCTTGCCTTGGAGGCCGGCGGTCATCATCAGAGGAGAGGAGAGGGGTAGCTCCAGTCACTGGGCTCCCCGTACACATGCCAGGCCCCAGGCAACCCCAGCTTGCTGTCTGGGCAGCCTGGCCCTGGGACAGCCTTGTGCTGAGGCCGTGGAGCGGGACGTTCCCCTGGCTAAGGGGCGTGTGGGGCACTGGGCCCTCCGCCAGACGGTTCCCCCTGGCTACCATCGCAGACGTGGAGGGGGGGGCAGGGGCACGAGGCTGAGGGGCAGCCTGCATAAAACGTGGGAAGGACTGGCCAAGTCCTCAGTGCCCTGCCCTGGAGCCCTGGCCACCCAGGGCCTCCAGTGAACGGCAGGCTCTCTGTCCCACCCCTGCCCACCTGGCACCTCTCCTGTGGTTTGGCTGCAGATTCCGGTTTAATTAGAGGCTTTCCCCCATTTCCCAGGGAGGGCTGGTGGACAGGATGAGCCCTCTGACCACCGGATGGTGCCTTCTACCTCCCACCCCCTCAATACCTTGCTCCACACATGCATCCCAGGCTACGGGCTGTAGGCCGAGCTGGTTCTGGGGTTTCCCAGGCCTGGCTTTGCTACACCCTGGGGCTTAGCGCCAGCCTGGCCTACGACAGTCAGCTCTGGTCCTCCCATCAGGTCAGAGGGTTCTCCCTGGTTCCCTGGCCAAAGCTAGCCCTTCGCAGGGATGGGAGGTTTGCTGGGAAACATACTGTGGAGCCACCCTCCCTTCCCTCAGAGCAAACCCACCCTACCCCCTTCCTGGGCAGAGTGGGACTCTGAGACCATCTTCCTGTACCTGGCACATTGGAGCCCAGGCTCTGGTTCTAAGACTTCCTTCCAAGGGTTTCCCTGTCCCCGCCCCGCCAGCCAGGCTTATAGTCTTGGGGGCCCAAGAGTCAGGGCTCAGATGGCAAGGCCTTTTCTGAAGCAGGGGTTTACATTCAAAAGTTCCTAGGCTGGAGGGACCTGTGGAGGGTGCTCATTCCACCCACTGGGCAAGGGCTCCAAGCATTTGTACCCTTAGGTGGCAAATGGTGGGATGCTTTCCACCAGAGTCCCAGGTTCTTGAGGCCGTGGCCCTGTCACAAGGCCTGGTCAGGGCTGATGTCTGCCTTTCACTGTTTTGGGGATCTATCAGAATAAAAAGGCCCCAGAGACCTCCAGGAAGCTTCCTAGGCTGTCAGCCACTGCTCCTCAAAACTCTGACATGAGGCAGAATTTTTGGATCTGTAATCATTGAGGTAGTCAGGGCTGCTTTTCTCATTCTCTTTATTCAAGGGGCAAACTGGCCCAGCATCCTGTAATGAGGTTCATGTAAAGGTCAGAGAGCCTTGGAGCTGGGCTTCCAAGCCTGCTTCACACTGTGGCACACTTGAAAGTTCCCACTAGACTACCTGGAGGAGGAGGCCAGACACACATGGGAGGTGCTGGCTGTGAGCTGGGAGGAGAGGGGGGCAGCGGGGTGGCGGGGGAGTGGGGCCTGACCACACAGTGCTCCGCAGGCTCTCTAAGGGTGTTGGTAGCTCCAAGCAGAGGAGAGCTGTGATCTGATTTACACTCTTGCTGGCTGGAGGCCTGGTGGAGGAACAGGGGGCCCCTGGAGTCGTCCAGGTGAGAGGCGACTGTGGCTTGGACGGAGTCAGGGACAGGGAGGAAGAAGCGGTGGAGCGCCCTCTAGATTATTTTGAAAGTAGAGCCAGTAATACCTGATAAATTGGAGGTGGGATGTGAGAGAAGAGTCTAGGGTTACTCCAAGGTATTTGAGCAACTGAAAGAGAAGAGCATTTGGGGCAGAAAACCAGAGGCTCTGCTTTGGACGTGTTGAGTTTGGGCAGCATTTCAGACTTCTGGGTAGACTTGGTGAATATACACTGGGGGAGTGGAGTTTCCCAGAGGAAGCAGGGGCTGACGTGGAAACAAATGGCAGTCATCAGATGAAGACATGGAGAGCTGTGCCCCCAGATGGGAGCACTCTGGGTGTGAGGGCAGGTGGAAAGCCAGTGGCCCGTTTTGGGTCAGGTCAGGAAGATGAGCACCAGAAGGCAGGCCGACAGAGCGGCCTGTGAGCCTGGAGGCAGACCAGGCCAGTGTGGCATTCTGGAAGCAAAGCGAAGAAATGGCAGCCTACTGGTCCCCTGCTGGAGACGCGGCTGGGCCCACGGCAGGCGCTCAGTACGTGAAGGATTTCGCAGGTATCCACACACCCCACGGCTGTCCCACCCCACTTTGTCCGCAAGCCTGAGGATCCTACATTCTATCCTTCGTTCCCACATGCACCCTGATTCTGTCCCAGAGGTGTCTGGGGTCAGTCTGGGGGTAGAGAAAGCCAGAGTGCAGCGTGGGCCCCCAGCTTGCTCACAAAGCCCGGCCTCAGAACAGCAGCGGGAAAGTCGGCAGCACCCAAGGCCTGGAGACACTGTGGCCCGGTCACCAGCCTTCTGGGCTGATGTTGCCAGTGGGCTGCCGGGCATGGGTCTTCCCCATCTAGGCAAATCCTCTGCAGCAAGTCCATTGCCAGGCAGGGACTCCAATAACATTGCCTCGGTGCACTGGAGGGCCTTTCTGCATGTCCCTTCTTCCCAACTCAACACCTGAGTCCTTGAGCTCTTGGGTGCTGTGTGGCTGTACCCTTACAACAACCCCATTGTCCTCTCCATTTGACAAGGAAACAGATGCTCAGATCCTATAGTAGTTCTTAGAGGCCACACACGTCAGAACCAGGACCTGAACGGGCCAGCCAACTCCTCGTCGGGTTGACAGAGGAGCATCCTCTGGGCTGCCCCAGGAGGCCAAGGGAGGGCTCTGGTTAGAGGTGCTCACAAATCCATGCTAGCCACAAAGGAGCCACTGCCACTGGGACATGAATCTCGTCTGCCTGAGGGAAGGCTCATGATCCTGGTCTGTGAGACTCTTCCCAGTGGGCAGATGAATGGGCAGAGGACTGGACAGGTGGCAGTGTCAGCACCTGCCCCATACCCCCAGGGAAGGTGCTGCAGCTAATAGCCCAGCCTCAAGCCCCTCTGGAGGCAGGAGTGTGGGGCAGAGGGCAGCCAGGGCTGCTGCTGTGAGCCTCACACTGTGGCTAAGTAGCAGCTCCTACCTGGCCTTCCCTCTCGGCTCACCCTGGACCCCAAACAGCCAATCCCAAGGGACCTGTGCCAGGCCTCACCATGAGCTACCCTGAGCTTCCCCAGGCCTGGTGATGAAGGAATCATGAACCCCACCTATTACACAAGAGAGGAAACTGAAGCCCAGAGATGTTAGGGAGTCTGGCTCAATTCACCCAGTGGGAAATTTCACCCACAGGGTGGGATGGAACCCAAGTCACCAGCTCTCATTGCTGTCCTCCAAAGATGTCCTAGTTCTTCTGTGCATGAGTCAAAAGTCACTTATCTGTGCTCCTAGCATCAGAATCCCCACAGGTGAACTTCCCAAGTGGAAGCTGAACCTCAGTGGTAGATGGTGTTCCCAGGATCCTGGCCTGTGCAGGTGTGCACTGGGGATGTGCAGAGCTGTGCCTTGGCCCCAAGCAGCACCTCCCTGTGGCCGGGTCGTATGGGGAGCCCCCTTCCCAGCATGAGTCATCTCATGACAGATCCATGTGACCAGTGTGAAAAGTAAGAGTCCTGTGTTGCTGAGGAAACAGGAAGTGGGGGGACTGGGTGGGTTGGCCCTAGAGAAACCCTGGCCCCATCTAGCCCACCTGCTCTGAGTTAAAGGGCTGATGGGAACTTTCCCTGTCCCCACAAATCCTGTAAAGTCTGAGGTGGAATAGTGGGTCAGATGCAGGACCCTGAGTCTGGGGGCTGGAGGAGGAAAGAAAACTCTAGGCTGTCCTGGAGTAAGCCTGGTCTTCTGACCATTACCTGCTGTCCACGGCTGGAAGCCTTGACCAGCCCCCCCCAGACAAGCCACAGGGCCTCCACAGAGGCCACAGAGAAATCCGGGAGGAGGGGGCAGGAGTGTCTCAGATCCAGAGGCAGAAAGAATTTCCTGGACAGGGGAGGGAGAGGTGCCTCCTGGAATTGAGTGTACAGAAACCAAGAGGCTCTCGAGGCAGTAGGGCTGCTTGAGCCAAGTCTGGGAGGCTGTGGGCAGGGCCACTGACTGCACATAGGATGGTCGAGTAGTGCCCCCTCCCAGAGGCCTGTGGTTTTTAACCACCCCCACTTTGCTTTGACATTTGGGCTACCCACACAGCTAAAAGAGGCTCTGTCTTCATGTATGCCCCTAGCCCCGGGCCTTCCTCCTTCGGGTCTCCCCACATTCACACCCCACCCCTCATTTTTCAGCACAACAAGGCCAGCCAGCCAGCCCACAGCGTCCCACAACTCTCTCCTCTCTATGAACATTTCAGCAGCCCACACCCTACATCTGCACCAGCCGACATCAGCCAGAAGCAAGGTATGGATCGGGGGGAAGGGGAGGGGCCTGACAGCCCCAGAGGGGTTCTGAGTCCAGGGGGCTAGGCCCTTTTCACAGCCGGAGAACCTGGGGCTGCACAAAATCCAACCCCAAAGACAATGCCAGAAGGGTGGATGGGGAGCCTGAGGGCAGGTGGTGCCAGGTCAGATTGGAAGGCTTCAGGTCGAGGCCAGACCCTACTCCTGAATGGCCTCCCAGGGCCGGTATGTGGGAGCAGGCATCTGTGCAAAGCTGAGGACAATAAAACGTATCCTTTCCCTCCCCCAGTGAGAAAATGGAAAGTGGTGGTTGTGATGGCTGATTCACCTCAGCCTCAGGGAAAGTCATTCTGAAATCAGCCATTATCGGCTGTGGGAAACCTGCTGACTCAACCGTGGGGAGGCAGAGGGGGTGGGTGGAACCCGGGCTGCCCAGGCCAGGGGGCCTGCCTCCTGCACACAAAGCCAGGCCAGAACCCCCAACTGAGAGACCCCAGCTGAAGACCGGTGGTGGACCGGGGCATGGTGGGGCCAGCCTTCCCCATCTTGAATGACTCCACCTCTGCCCCTGGCCAGCCAGTATCCTTAAGGCTGTCCTACCCAGCCTCTCTGCCCTCGGTTTCCTAGCCTGGAAGTGGGGCACTGTTCTTACGCTGGCACGGTCCTGAACAAACCAGTGTCTGGTCCTCTAGCTGATGGAGGTGGGGTTGAAGAGGCCCCACAGGAGGCGCTAGGATGCAGTAACCAGCCGCAGTGGCTTCCAGGTCAGGCTGGATCCCTCACGCAGCCCCCTCTCCTGTAGGCGTTCACAGGCCTCTGCAGACCCCTGACCTCTCCGGCTTCTACTCTCTGACCTCAGGCAGCATGGGACAACTCCCCCACACCGTGAGCTGGTGAGTGTGGGCCCCATGGGAAGAGGGCACCTTGCACTCATGAGACCCATACCTGCCATGGCACTTTGCACTCCAGCCTACTCTGCTCAGCATTCTGCCGCCAGCCGTGTCAGTCCCACGGGCCGCCCAGCAGCTCGGTCCGTTCCCCAGGTAGCCAGCCAGTCATGCTCCCCTTGGCTCCTGGCCTTAGCCCCACGGCACCTGAACTCTGCTCCAGTGTGAGAGATCTGGATGGCTTGGGGGTGGGGGACACCAAGCTGCCCAGGGTCATGAATGTGTAAGGAAGAGCTAGACCTGCCTGAGCAGGGAGGGGACAGTATGTGTGAATGGCTGTTTGCCTCCCGGCCACATGGTAGGCAGGGGAACACTTCCTGCTCCTCGCAGTGCCTACTGTTGACTAGTCCCTTGGCTGCGCTCCCCGAGGAGCAGAGTTCTGTGCCCCCTCTGTGCCTGCTTGAGCTCAGGCCCCTGGCCAGCTGCCTGGAGAGCCTGCTGCAAGTCTGTGAAGGCTGGGCCAGCAAGAGCCAGCCTGAACGTGAAGTCAGTAGGCCCAACTGTAGACCGGAGGGCCCATCTTCAGCTGGAACTAGGTTGCAGCGGGCTAGTTGGCCCTTCACCCATCAGCCACAGTGTGATCTGGACAGGTGTATGGCCTCTGAGCTGGGGCAGTCACCCCCAGCAGGGAAGCGTGGTTTTCCCAGGAAGGAAGGGAAGCCCAGAGGCCTGCCCTCTTCTACGTGCTCTTTAGCCACGTTCAACTCATGCCTCCATTTCCAGATTCTCCCTGGGCAGTGCACCATTCTGAATACCAGTCAGGGCTGTATCTCTTAATGCCCTCAGGTTTGAAGTTGGGTAGGCAGGGTTCTGGACAGCAGAGTGGCATGGCACTGCTGACGCTGGCCAGCCCTCAGGCCACCACCCTCTCGGGACCTGATCCACCTGGTGCGCTCCCCAGGCCAGAGGCCTGACAGGCACAGGACAGCGTTAGCACTGGGTACTGTACAGATTCAGAGGGGTGCCTCGTCCTGCTTGGGATGTCAAGGGCTTCCATGAGAAAAGGTTGTGTAGCCAAGCAAGGCCTGAAGGAAGACGAAAAATGAAAAGGAGCAGAACCACCCAGTCGTCCTGACAGTGTATGCAGAAGCCCTAAGAGAGTTGTCCAGCCTGTATTGACCAGGAAATTTCAGGAATTTCAGGCTGGAGTGAGCGGGATGGGCTGGGGCTTCCTAAGCTGAGTCCTAGGAGAATGCTGCTATTTCTGCTCCTGAAGTGCCAAAAGGCTGCAGAGGGAAATAGGAGCAGCACGGATTGCCCTCTGGTGGTGGAGGCCGAGTACAGACACCGAAGGCGTCCTAGCAGAGGCTGATACCCTGCACACTATGGGTCAGGCCCAAGCAAGGTGGGGAAGTCCTTCCCCACATCTGGCCAGTAGCCAGACTGCTAACGGCTGTCTCTCCCAACCACAGGCCCAGTCCTCCTCTCTACCCCTTGTCCCCTTCCTGCGGATATAGACAGCACTTCCCTGCCCCCACTGCAGCCCCTGGCGCCCCCTACCCCAGGTGAGTCCCGTACCCTGCAGCCAGGCTCCTGCTTCCTGTTGCCCAGGCTTCAGTGCCCACACGAGGCCTTGCCCAGGCCAGTGCTTGCCCTGTGCTAGTTGTCTGTCCATCCGTCCGTCTGTCATTCTGCAGCCCCTTGCTGCTCTGTGCCTAAGAATGAAGCCAGTGGGAGAACGAGAGGCCCAGGCCCAGGCCATACTGTGCAGCCAAGTACCCTAGAGCAGCCAGGGACAGCGCACGCACACGCATGCTTGTGCTCCTGCCTGTGCACATGCAGGCGTGTGTGCACTCGCCTCTGTTGTGCATCCCTGCCGAAGGGCGAGTCAGGCATACTCGCTTGCCTGGACATTCCGTGAGCTCTGCCCAAGCTGAGGCATCATCCCTTTACATGCGTCTCCAACCTTGGACCCTTGGGGACTGCCTGCTCAGAGAAAGGAACAAGGGCATGGTGGTTTCCACAGAACAGCAGAAGAGCGAAGTGACAGGTGTGTGTATTACGTTTGTGTCACTTCCCTTCACTCACGCCCTCAGAGGGGACAGACCCAAGCCAGGGATGGAAGAAGGACCTCAGCAGACATTTCCAGCCCGACTGGAGTTCACAGCCCAGGGTGGGAGGTATGGACAAAACACTAACAGGCCAATGGGCTATCTGGGGTGATGGGAAAGCCCTAATCAGATCTCAGCCAGGGAGAACTTCCCGAAAAGAGAAACATGTCCAGAGTAAAGGGGAGCAGCACTAGTTGGGAACGGCTAGGGGGGGTCAAATGATGGAGCACAGGGGAAAAGATGGAATCAGCAGGGATGTTCCTGCAGGGTGGGGCAAGTCCCATGGAGGAGCCTGGGTTTTATTCTGTGGGCTCTGGGGGAATTTCAGCAGAGTGGCCAAGAGCACTCAGGAGTTTTTAAAATGTCCCCTCTGGGTGTTGTGTGGAGAGAGGCCGGAAGGGCTCAAGCAGGAGAGGAAGGAAGCTCCCAGGGCAGAGGCACAGGCTCAGGAGGCTGAGCTGATAAAAGCATAAGGTAAGGGGACAGATTCAAAAGCTGTTTATAGAGGATCCCTGGGTGGCTCAGCCTTTTAACGCCTGCCTTCGGCCCAGGGTGTGGTCCTGGGATCGAGTCCCACGTCCTACTCTGTGCATGGAGCCTGTTTCTCCCTCTGCCTCTCTGTCTCTCTCATGAATAAATAAAATCTTTAAAGACAAAAACAAAAGCTATTTGAGTTAGTAGCACCTGAGAGACATGGATATAGATTTTTGCAGTGTGTCTGTGTAGTATGTTGGGTGCAGGTATTTGTGTGTATCTGTGTACCTGTGTGCAAACCACTGGGGGTGGGCTGTCCTCACCTGTCTTCGTGTACTGTGCTGGAGCCTTCACGTGTCCAGGGCTTTGGCCTGTACCTTCCTGGCTCAATGTTAACTCTCCTTCTGCCTTCAGGTTCACCCATCCATCCCTGATGCTGGGCTCTGGTGTACCTGGTCACCCCGCAGCCATCCCCCACCCAGCCATCGTACCTCCCTCGGGGAAGCAGGAGCTGCAGCCATATGACCGCAGCCTGTGAGTGAAAGGGCACACAATGTGGAAGAGGGAGGGGAACCAGTGAGGAGACTTCAGGATCCCCTCAGCCAGATACGCATTCCTCCCCTCAGGCTCTACCCCTGCTGCTTAGAAACTCAAGGGACTACCAGGGGCAGCCTCTGGTCAAGCCATCTTGTGATTCTTGCCACTGACTGACCGGTGTTTTATTCTATTCTTTTCCTTATTTAAGCAATCTCTTCACCCAGTGTGGGGCTTGAACTCACAACCCCAACATCATCAAGAGCTGTACGCTCCTCCAACTGAGCCAGCCAGCTTAAGAAGATACCATTTATAAAACCCTAGTTTCCACGCATTTACACACCCACTGCAAACACACTAGAAGGTAGTAACATTAGGTGCACACTGGAGGGCTACTGAGTGACCTGGATTTGTGCCCCGCAGGAAGACACAGGCAGAATCCAAGGTGGAGAAGGAGGCCAAGAAGCCAACCATCAAGAAGCCCCTCAACGCCTTCATGCTGTATATGAAGGAGATGAGAGCCAAGGTCATTGCAGAGTGCACACTCAAGGAGAGTGCTGCTATCAACCAGATCCTGGGCCGTAGGGTGAGGCCAGGGGCAGGTGGGCTGGGGTCCCTGGCCAGCTTCACCCCAGTGGTGCTTGTTGACTCCCCAATGCCCCCCATCTATCCCTTCTTCCCCACTGCAGTGGCACGCCCTATCTCGGGAAGAGCAGGCCAAGTATTACGAGCTGGCCCGAAAGGAGAGGCAGTTGCACATGCAGCTCTACCCAGGCTGGTCGGCGCGGGACAACTATGTGAGTTGCCAATGACACAGTAGGGACGAGTAGGGGAACCTTTAAGATGCCATGCCCCAGACCACCGTCCTGAAGGCAGAAATGAGGTGGCCAGGTGGTGGCATGAAGGGCCCAAGGCCTCACAGGGCTAGCCTGGAGAGAGCTAAGCAAGGGAATCTGCCCCCACGGTAGGCCCATGTCCTCTTTTCCACCTGGGATGCGCTCCCCCTCAGGGCTGGCGCCTGATATTTGGCCACCTAAGTGGAAAGGGACTGAGGGGCCTTGTACATCTCCTCCATTCAAACTGCCCCGTGGTAGGTACTCTGGCAAAAGCTGCCATCAGGAAACACTAGGCCTTGTGGGGAAGAGGGAACAGTGTACCCAGAATCTCAGCAACAGCCAGGCTAGGCTGCAGGTCTCCCAACCATTCAGTCACTGGAATTAACCAAGGGGCCACTTCCCAGATCTGAGCCTCCCTCCCTTTGTTCCCTGCAGGGGAAAAAGAAAAGGCGGTCACGGGAAAAGCACCAGGAATCTACCACAGGTGAGGCCTTCTCAGCAGGGGTCATGAGCACGCTGCTCTGGCCCCAAGGGAGGGTAGAACCTCAGCCCCAGGACCTTGGGGCTTGGCCCTCCTAAGTCGCGTTCACATGGTGCTGCAAGTGTCCACAGTGTAACGCTGTGTTGGTGTGCTGCCTCCTGTGCCCTCCCCGAGCTCAGCCTCTGCCAGGGAAGCTGCCCCTGTGCTGCGTGGAGACAGGCACATGGGCCGTGCAGGTGGGGCCACCTCGGCCCAAAGTCATGTAGCCTGCTGGCTGCTGCCTGACCATCCCTCAGTCACCCCCGCTCCCTTAGCTCAGCAGTGCAGAGTGCTCGGATGGAGGACCCGAGAAAGCCACACTGCTTCAGGTCTCCTTCCTGTAGGTGAATTCTTGCCCCACGTCTGATACTTCAGACTCCAAGTCCATGACCATCTCAGCCACGTTGCCCCCCCCCCACTCCCCCCCAAATCTCGAGGCTGGGACTGAGGCCGAGCAGAATCCTTAGCCCTTTTTCTGAGGTTGAAGCGTGGACTCCACCGTCTACCTGGTTTAAGCTACAGCATGATGGGGTTAGGGGTCAGGCAGATTGGGCACTGGCAAAAGAAGAAAAACTGGATGAAGTAGGCTGGATCCCTGTGGGCCCCTCAGCTCCTCCCACAGCTCCGTGGGGCAACCCGATGGAGGACGAAATGATGGGATCCCCTCCCTTCCTCCGTCCCCCACTCTTTCCCACTGCCTCTCCTGCTAGCTAGGCGCCCGCCTTTCCTGAGAACTTGGCTCTGGGTCCTGGGGCTCCACTGGGGCTGGCTGTGCCACAGAGAGGCCCTCTGCCTATGGGGCCTATGGGGTATCTGTGACTGGCTGACACTGACGTTACCTCTTCTTTCTGGGCCCTGCTCTGCCCTGCTGCCTGCCTGCTCGCCCTCTGCCCTGCTCTGCCCCTCTGGCATGGCTGTGAGCAGACCCTGGCTCGCCTAAGAAATGCCGTGCTCGCTTTGGCCTCAACCAGCAGACGGATTGGTGTGGTCCGTGCAGGTGGGTTTGTCCCCACCACCATCCTCCCTTTGCTTCAAGCTGCTTCCCTGACTCTGCACATGTTCTGCTGGGCCTGTAGCCCTCCTCTGGTCTCCCAGCCCCATAGCATACCCACAGATCAGGGAGCCCATGCCTCCTAAGAATGAAGTGGAGGAAGGATGTTCTAGAAAGGAAGAAAAGCAGACTCAAAATAAGGTAGTTCTGGTTCCTAGGGTCCTCTGTTAAGGATAGTCTGATGCTAAGGTTAGCAGACTCTCTTTGTGCATCCCAGTCAGTGGCCTGAGCCCCTGCTACCAGGCCTAGAACTCACGATGGTCCACCAGTTCCCTCACTTCAAGTTAGGATCCCTACCTGTATTATCCTGAAACCCTTGAATCTAAAACCAAGGTGCCCTAGGGTAGAGAATAACCTCAATGCCAAGTGTCCATGTATCTTATCTTGTACCTGAGACCAGGAGACTGCAGAGGTAGGCAGGGAGGAACCGGTGGTATCCCTGAGCTGTCCTAGCAAAAGGGCCATACTTAGGCTCTATGGCACTAAACTTGTGCGTCTCCCTGTACAACAGAGAAATGTATGTGAGGAGAAGGCAGTAACTAACTTCAGGCAGTAACTCACAGACTCTAAGGAATACTGTCCAGCCCATCAGAGTGCCCACCATGTTCCCTCTCCAAGGACAAGGGCATTTGGGTAGCATGTAAGTGTGTGCACGCCAAGGACAAGGGCATTTGGGTAGCATGTAAGTGTGTGCACGTACACATGGGGAGAGCATATTCATGTTACTCTGCCCAAGCACCTCTTGGCCAAGCCACAGGCATCACAGGCATTGCAGCCCTTCACCTTAATGCAAATAAGAGCCCCTCCCCAAACACGTCAAACCGGCTCAGAGGCCCAAATTAGGAGATGGCCCCTCTGGAAAACGAGGTGGCCCACAGGGCTAGCCTGCAAGCAGTTCCTGTGCCACCCGCTGGCTGTGCGGGGAACTGCACCTGATCCAGGTCTGGGCGGGCCCAGCAGAATTGCAAGGCTAGGTTTGAAGGCACAGGCCCACCACTCAAGTCCTGGGGAGAAGGGAACAAGAGGTCAGCTAGGCCTGTGCAAGGACAGCATTTTCTGGTTGTGGTGTATGACTATGAATTCACCCTCTGTTTACAGATAACTCTCTTCACTATTCCTAGGAGGAAAAAGAAATGCATTCGGTACTTACCCGGAGAAGGCCGCTGCCCCAGCCCCGTTCCTTCCGATGACAGTGCTCTAGGCTGCCCCGGGTCCCCAGCCCCCCAGGACTCGCCCTCATACCTCCTGCTGCCCCACTTCCCCACAGAACTGCTTGCCAGCCCTGCGGAGCCGGCGCCTACATCACCAGGTCTTTCAGCCGCTCTCAGCCTCCCAGCCCCCTGGACCCCCCCAGATCCCCCCCAGCGCCCTGCAGAGTACACAAGTGCAACAACAGCAATCTCAGAGACAGGCAACCTAGCATGCACGGGACACCTGGCTACCTCCAGGGGCCCATCCTCTGAAAGGAAGCGACAGAGCCCCAAAGCACGTGGAAACTGGCCAGGGGCCCCGTTACCTCCCGCTCAGGGACCAGGCCCGGGAGACTTCCGAGGCTGTACAACTTCTGCCTGAACCTGGAGCCATCAATTCCAAGCGCTCCAAGTGGTGGGACTCAGATCTGTGTTGTGTCTGATTAAGGGCATCCCTTGTGCCTACAGCAGCCTGCATGGACTCTTTTTACCACCTGTCTTGCTGGCCAGATGTCCCCGCCTCCCTTGCTTTTCTGCTATAGGTCACAGAGGGGCTGGACTCAGCCCAGCTGCCTGCCCTACCCTACACCTCCCTAGCCCCACCACTGCCATGCCCTCCCCATACCAGACACTTCATGGACCAAGAATGAGCTAGTTTATGAAACAACATGTGAGCATGGTCACAACCACATGCTCAAGACCATGCTCTCAAAAGGGGCTGGAGAAGCCCTGTTGATAGAATGCAGTAACTATTCATAAACTAGACCAGAAGGAAGCCTCTTACCAGTTCTCAAGAGCTTGTAAGACAAGGAGGGAATGGAACAGGCTAAATCTAGGCCTATCACCGTAGGCAACAGGAATAACCTGACACTACCTTATCAGGCAAGTATGGGCAGTGAGAGGTACCTGGCTCTAGTTCACATTACTTAGAATTGTTTCCAAGAGAAACCCAACCTCCCCAAAAGGTGATACCAAGGTCCCAAGTCTGTCTCTAGTGGCTGAACTTAACAGCTGAGAGAAACGATGTCCCTAAACCTGGTGTGCATCCCTCCCCAGTCCCAGAGCCTTTGCCACAGCTCCATTTCCTGCTTAGCCGTATCAGTCTAGGCAGCCCTTGGGCAGTTGTGAGAGGGAGCCCAAACCTCACAACAGCCAGTGCCTACCTTCCAGCATGAAACAGGTCAGCTTCCTTTCCCTGATGGGGCTGTAGGAAGGTACCATCACCATCAAAGCAAGGAGTCCAGAGAACCTCCAGTGGTAGTCAGTGGGTTTTCACCACAGCCTACTTTAACCCATTTCTGAGCCAAGCTTCAACCCTGAGCCTTAAAAAACAAACTTTTTTTTTATTTAAAAATTTTTTTTTGCCTCTTCCTCACTGTACATAGCCTGACTCCAAAGAAAAAAGGCTGTTCCTATACCCATGTACCCCTCAACAAAAGCCTTTAGTTCCTACTTTAGCCACTGGCTTCTCAGAATCCAAAGAACATATTCTAGTTTAGTGTTGCAAGAAGTCTTGAGAGAAAGAAAAGACTATTGTAGTATTCAAAATATTTTTGTATTGTTAATGCATCATCATACAAAAACTTTTTTAACATGAGAATAAAGATACTTTTTACTGGGTTTCTTTTTTAAAACTTGACCCTGAGGAATAAGCTGTTTCAGTAATGGAGCATTACACTCTCCTTTTCTTATCCACAATCTACAGAAGCCAAAGATTACTTTCCTCACTTTTCCCACAGGGGGGCTTAGGCCTTGCTCCAACCACAAGAGCTAAGCTCATTCTATGTGTAAACTCCCATTCCAAGCTTTGCACCTAAGTCCCAAATTGTGGGACCTCACAACTGATGCAGGGCTAGGCTGCCTGCATATGAGAATGGGCACAAGACCACTAGGCTCCATCTTCCCCTCCACTATCCTTCCACAGAGAGAAAAGACCAAACACTCTGGTGTATATCCTATTTTGAAAAAAACGAGCAAACTGGAGTTTTTTGGAATGTGGTGTCAGAAAATTCGAAAGGGCATTTTAATAGTGCTCTTTCCTCCCAAAAGCTAATTAATTAGGTGAAGTATCTTCATTATTTTTATGTAAATCCTCTCCAGTTCGGTCTGCAGGCTACTTTTTACACAGGGGTTTCCATCATGTTTAATAGCGTTAACTCCTCAAACCCATCATGAATGTAAAAGGTGTAAGGCCACTTCAATAGGTCAAACATTAGATACAAATGCCGGGCAAAAAAATCACAACAGCCAGCCACTGGGTCACTCACCATCATGCACTGTAATTTTCACTGAGTTATATTTTTGGGATTTTATGTTTGAAAATATTTATAAATAAAGTCATCTTCCAGAGTAGTGCCTATTTAAAGTAGGCCACTGCAAGCTGTAATCCTAGACTTGCTTTTTTTCTGGAAGGGTACAAGAGGAGACCGACCATTCTCTCGACGTCTGTCCCATTTAAAGAATTCCACTCTGGCTACTGGCCTAGATGTTTCAAAAACTACACTTTAAGGCTCATGCAAGAATGGGTTGCTGCATCTGATTTGGTGTCTAATTCAGAGCACACTGGGTACAGGAACAATGCACCCTTTGTGTATGTGAGGGTAAAGAGGGGGGCTCTGGCAACTTCGTTAAAATCCAACCCAGCCTCTTAAAAAGGTAACTTCAAAGATGAAACTCGAATCCTCCCAGGTCAAACCAGCACATTCCCCAGGCCACAGGTGACTTGAGTGAAGGCCCAAATTCAACTTCAAATAGCACGCCAGTCCCACCTCACTACAAGCCAAGAACTAGCCCTGTTTCTAAGACCTCATGAGACAAGATATCCCAACCTCCGTTCCACATTCCCAGAAAACAGGCGAACTGACTTGGCATCCGTGTTGCAGCTGCTCCTCCTGGGCTTAGAAATATGGTGAGGACGCAGCTCACCAGCTGGCAAGGCCTGCCAAGTCTCTCAGTTTGAACATGTTTCCCCTTTTTATGTAAGAAGCCCTGTGGCTAACCTCTTCTGGCTGTGACTATTTTTCGAATGTCCCCAAAAGCACTGCTGCCCAGCTTCTACTGAGTGTACGGTTTAAGTCTGGCAAGAAAGGCCACAGGTGCCAGGAAACAGGCTGATTCTTTTTATTTTTCCAAAAAAGAAATGAAATAGGTTTCTGCACACATTTTTAGAAAAACAGCCTAGAAAGGGCAAGGGTAATCAAGACTTGTCAAAGTAGAAGATTTGAGGACAAGAACAATTCCTTATATAAAAAAACTGATTTGGGCTTTGAAGTTAGAAAGCCTACTTTATCATTACTTTCTACACAGAGCTTTAAGAGTTCACCAAGGGTGGGCAACCCGGGTGGCTCAGCGGTTTAGCGCCGCCTTCAGCCCGGGGTGTGATCCTGGGGACCCAAGATTGAGTTCCACATTGGGCTCCCTGCATGGAGCCTGCTTCTCCCTCTGCCTGTGTCTCTCATGAATAAAAATCTTAAAAAAAAGTTCACCAAGGGCCCCTGAAAGACAGCTGACCACTCAAGCAAACCCTGGTTCCTAGGCTCCATCAATGCCAATTATTCCAATCCCCTGTGTCCCAGATCTCTAACTCAGGCTCTCGGGCTCTCTACTGGCCCAGAGCAGCTAATGGATCTTTGTTTGCCTATCTGCCCACAATGGGCCAGAGGGGTCTGAGACCAGTCCTAACTTAAACAGCAGGAGACATAGATGGGGGACATTCCCAGTCTGTTGGATAGAATAAAAGCCTAGCTCAGCTCACCTCACGAGAGATTTCAAAGTTAACAATAATGTGGAATCAGGCACAGAAGTAATAAGACAAAGCACATTCTGTCCTAGTGGTAGCAGTTCTCGAGTTCAGTCAGACAAGGTAAGAGGTATTTCATCAGCTATAAATTACATAAGAAATAGTTATTAGTTCAAGCTGATACTTCTTTTAAGTTCACCTGGGGCTTTGGAACAGATCTTCCTTTTTTCATTCAGGTGTTCTTTCCTTTATCTGAAGACTTATTTAAAGTATGTGGTCAATAGGCGGGGGATAGAAAGGGGAGAAAAATGGAGGAGGAGGAATTAGGTCAAAGGAACAAAGAAAGGAAACCAGGCAAGCCAGCGAAGACTTCTGGAAACTCCTCTTGAACGCAGTTTTCTGACCATGCTGCTCTGTAGTCCCACCCATCCTATAAGACTCCTGGAGCAGAAGTATCTGCAAAGCTTGTGAAGCAGGTAAGAGAAGTTGTAAAAGAGCACACTCAGCACAATGACAAATGTTAATTTGTACAATATATGAGGTAAGTGCTGAAATTGAGAGCACTTTTATGGACTAGACTGATCCTCAGAGAGAAAGAAGAGGGAGCTGGCATATAGGTCAAGTGCCTAGTAAATACTTCTGAAAATTTCAAGTTAAGCAGTGTCAGAAGGTCATGAGAACCACAGAATGTACAGATATTGTTGTAAGCAACTATATTCTATATTCCTCCCACAAATGCCTCTCAGTATTGGCATGCAGACCAGATGTAGCCAACAGTGTAAGATGCCACAAGGCAGCAAGTATGTATGTCATCCATGAGTTAAACTATCACTCAAGTCCCACAATGGAAATCGGATCAAACGAGAGCACCCTGACCAACACCTTTATGCCAACAATAATGTTCATATCCACTGACCACTCAAAAGTAAGGACAGCATTCAGTCCATTCTGCTTAGGTGGCCAAAAGATTCAATGCTGGGCCAAAGGATATGTTCTAAACTTCTCACATCATTTGTCTTGATATGCACATCCAGTTCTCTTACTCATTCTGCCTTTTAGAGTGATTTCTTTTTTTAAAAGATTTTCTATTTATTTCTTTGACAGAGAGTGAGCGAGAAGCAGACTCCTTGCTGAGCAGGGTGCCCTACAAGGGGCTTAATCCCAGGACCCCAGAACCATGATCTGAGCCTAAGGTAGACGCTTAACCAATTGAGCCACCCAGGCACTCCTAGAGAGTGATTTTTAACAAGAGTAAACAAAAGCATCAATTAGAACTCCAACTATAAAACCCCCTATCACAGTCCTTTAGTAGAATACTAAAAAATGTTTTCGTTCAACCATTCAAGAACTGCACTGCCTGACATGGGATTGATGAACTCTCTTCCTGGACCATCACTAAAATTCTATCACTAATCCAGCACTATTTCATTCCAGCCTATATTCTCTAGCCAACTGACTGATACTCAACTTTTTGCTGGCAGTTCCAGACTGAGAACTGCTTCCCCCCTCACCTTGGCATTCCTCCATTCCCAACCAAAACCAAAATGACTTCTGAAACCAAATTAGTTTCTTCTCACAAGTAGTGGCAAAAGTTATGCTTTAAGGGACGCCTGGGTGGCTCAGCAGTTGAGCATCTGCCTTCGGCTCAGGCTATGATCCCAGGGTCCTGGGATCGAGTCCTGCATCAGGCTCCCTGCATAAAGCCTGCTTCTCCCTGCCTGTGTCTCTGCCTCTGTCTCTAATGAATAAATAAAATCTTTTTTTTTTTTTTAAAGAGCTTTAAAAGATAAATGGACTTCTTTGGCCATGGCTAAGGTGAACAGCGCTCAGATCAAGAGGTCAGCTGCTCTCTCTGTTCTTAATTCATGGAAGTCACTTCCTATATCTGTATAACTTGACCTATTAAGAGTCTAGGTAACCTACCTCGTTTCTTAATTTACCTTGGGATCAGTAAACAAACTATAGGATGGCCACTGTGTAAGCAAACTAAGAGACCATGTCATTTGGAGTATCTGCCTGCCCTGAGTCACATGCTCATTGTGACTGCTACTAGCTGCCTTCTTCAGCTAGATCCAGTCTAAACTCAGCATTACCATTACTTCATATTACCAGGATGTGGTCCTAACAGTCCACCAAATTAAAGACCTCGTTTAATTCCAGCAGCTGGTGTGTTCCAACAGGTGCAGAATCAACATCACAGCTATAATGCTGTTCAGGAATCTTTTACTAGGATGAGTTTGTGAATCTTTAGAAAAATTTTAAAAATTGCAAAGCAATACCCACCTTCTGTATTAAAGGTTCATTCATGAAGGCAAGCTAATAGAATGGCACTTCAAATATAAAACTTGCTTCTACAATGTAAGAATTATTAGAATCTGTTTGAGGGGGCATATGCTTAATCCACGATAATGTGAGGGAAAAAGGAATAGACTAACACTCAGGAGTTTAGTTTACTCTCAATTTTAAGTGACAAAGAAAAGCTGAGAAGCCAAAGAACTGTCCCAGAAGAATGTTCATCACCAAAAGCACCACTCTGCATGTAGCTACCATTTCTAACTTACCCCAGGCTACAAGGGCACTAAGAGGCATAAGTATGAGTCTGGCCTCACAAAAGGACTTCATGCCACGGTATTGATTTAGGGCAGCTGGGTAATGAGAGGGTGGGAAAGGGTATATCTCTGGAGATAGGTCTGGCTACTGTAGATAATGGCAAAGAGCCACTCGCTTTCCCAGGGTAAGGTGAGGGCCTAGAAAACTCTTGGTAAGTATTAAAGAAAAAGTGAGCATCTAGCAGGGAATAGGGCAGGCAGGGAATAGGCCTGTGTAGCCAGCCTGAAGTGCCTCTCGACACCCCATCTATGACTTACGTGGCACATGATGTCCACAAATGGCCTATTTTCTCTGAGATGAGCTGTCAGAGCTCTATAAAACCTGAGAGTTTAAGACTATCAGGATGTCTTGTTTAAAGCTTAGGGCCACAGTCTATAGGAAATCAGGAAGGGAACAAAAATCTTAACTACTATACTGTCTGTCCGCTCAGTCTCACCCATTCATCAAAAAGATCCCAGTGTCCTTTAAATAGGGGTAATGCTATTTAGTCCTGTAATTCCAACAATTCTTGGGGGTTATATAGATTGAGAACTAACAGCAATAGGTTTTGTTCCTTTCTAAACTAAATGAGACATATGTTAACGATCCTGAACTTTCAGTTAAGAATTTGGTTTTTCATGATCTTGCTAGAGATCTTGCTGGGGGTGATTAAGTTTTTTCAAGAACTGACCATGATGGTGGGAATTAGCAGATAAAGACACTCCAGCTAGGACTGAATTCTGCTACCTCCCCCAAGTGAACCCAAGACAAATGGAAAACAACCTTAATTCCTGAGAATAAAAGGAATCAGGGATCCAGAAGTAGTTATAAGGGTTAGCAAACTTTTTCTGTCAAGGGCCAGAGGGAAACATTTTAGGCTTTTTAGTCAAATACCGTGTCCTGTATTGATTTTTAAATAATCCTTTAATAACATAAAACCATTTTAAACTCAGAAACTGCAAAAACAACAGGCTGTGTGCTGGATCTCACCCACACAAGGGCTGTAGTTTGCAATCTGCAATCTCTGGTACAGACCACAAATAGGAATTCATGTGAGACAGTATATGGGACTTTATTAAATAGATAGATTTGGAGCAAATGAGAGGTAAAGTATAAAGGCAAACTAATGTCAGCGAATAATCTGAGCTGAAACAGTTCATAGTAAACATGAAGAGAATGCAGTAAGACTACATGTGAACACAGATGATGCTAAATGGGAAAGCAGGAAAAAAGGAGCACAGAGGACAGAAAAAAGAACAATTTGTGGGCCATCTTAAGCCACCAAGAAAACTTAATTCTACTATAGGGCAGAGGCTGGAAACAATGGCAGGGCCATTCTTGAGGCCACGTACACCAGTTAAGAACTGAAGCATTGGCTCCAGTGAACTGGATCATGACAATCAGAAGAGACAGAAGTCTATCAGAACCCAAGTGTTAGGTCAGCAGCCTCCAGTGAGCTCATACATGAACTTCCTTGCAAGCTGTCTCCAGCTACACAACCATACATATATATTTAACTCATTTAATAATAATAAGTGAAGAGACAGTTAATTTACACAAAAGCAAACCATTTACCACCTACTGTGTAACTTACTTTTTATTGAAGCTTTCATTCATGATGGATACTCCTAGGTTTTGCCATACACTTTAATGTTAAAGGTTAAATTTTTTTTACATGCAAGTAGTGTGAAGTTTCCCCCACATGGGATAACTGATGATAAAAAGATGACATACTACATGGGTTATTTGCCTTTTTTAATTGAAAAGCTAACAGACTGGCTAAATTTCCCCCAAAACCACAAACTGAGTAGTAACTGAGTCTCTAGCCAATGTATTCAAAGCTAAGGATTAAAAATGCAAAAACAAGTCTTTAGATCCAATTAAGGGAGCCCAGCTACATACAAGCTCATCAATACCAGTGGTACTCCTTGACTCCAGGAAGTTGGAAGACATCCTAATAAGCCCACTCAAAACATTTACCTCAAGTAGCCTTTTTCCAGTTTCCAACTCATGAATAAAGATAATACGTTGTTAATTCTATTTCAGAAAACTTTTTTCAACTTGTTTTATTTACAATGCCAACTTTTAAAAGGTCATTAAACTAAAGTTAACCAGACAATAAACTAGGCAGAAATCGCTTTACAAAGAGAGGGAAAGCCCAAAATGCCACCTTCTACGAGAACCCACAGTTCAGTTTATTAAGAGCAAGGAAAAAAAGAAACTTTCGATCATACTAGAAGAAACTCAGCCATAAGTTTGGAATCTGTACTCAAACTACACATGCAAGGAGGACAATATTCTGCTAAAACAACTGATTTGCTGCTGCATTTGTCTACTGTTTGTCTAATATTAACAATTATAAACAGAGCAGTGCAACTAGTATTTGGAACAATCCTTACAGTGTTACAGTGTCAGGCATAACATCTCACTTCTCTTCACACCACTGGTTCTCTTTGCGTACCTAGAAGAGACAGATATAAGGAAGTACCTTAAGCAGCTTTTCTTAAGACTACTACCCTCATGATTCATTAACAGCCTGTGAAGAGGGTTACCAAGGGACAGACGGAAAACTAGAAAAATACGAGGGTACAAGTACACTTCCTTACCCTCCTTTGCCTCCCCAGGTTTTTATTCTGCCCTGCTGAAATTATCAAAAAAGCAAAGGCAATGGGCAATTAAAGCTTCAGTCACCAGAACTGACAGCCAATTTAAATACTTCATTCACATTATTTCAGTTTGTAGCTCTGTCAATGTTCTGATCTACTCCTTCGTTTCTTCCCCCATTCACTAAGTTGCTTTCTTTCAAGTATCCTTGGCAGTACACTAGCCACAGTGCTTGCTTTTCTGAAGTCAAATATTTATGGCTTACACGTAAGCTCCAGGTGACAAAACTAGTAACTGTGAAGGAGGAAGTATCAAAGAACACCTATGGCTGCTAATTGTTCTTATGCTCATACAAGAATGGGAGCATGCAAGTATTTAAAATCACAGACAGACCAGTCTCTCAACAAGAATATTTTTATGACACAGAGGTACCTATTTTATCATCTTTCAAGTAAAGTCAAGACTCCTTGATAGAGACACATCCTCTCCAGGTACGTTCTGAGTTTTACTTTTTTTTTTTTTTTTTTTTAAAGCATGTGATTAGAAACAAGCTGTGAGCAACCTACCTGGGCTTCCTCTTCTTCAGTAAAGTCATTTTTGATATTGAAGGTCTTACGGATCTCCTCAGGAGTTTTCCCCTTGATCATATTGGCAACAGTCTTGCATGTAACATCAAGCAAACCTTTGATGTCTAAGTAGTTCGCAGCCTGGAATGTGATGGTTGTTTTCATTATATAGTTGATGTTTTCAACTAAATCCAAAGTTAGCGACTGCCAATCCATATGTAATTAAACTTAAAATGCTAGTTAATTTTGTGAAATTAAAGGGAAAATCAGATGCTTTTGTGAAATATTTTCATAAAACACTTTGTTACACCTTCTGTAATATGGAGTCCTGCTGCTGCCTTAAGCAAACCATACACCACCTCAAATGCTCAAGAATGGTCACTACTTGTGGGTGTGTGTATGTGTGTGCTCTGTGCACAGAAGCACCACATAGCAAATCTTGACAAAAATATTTAAAGAAACAGAAGCAATAACATTACATTTTACTGATCTTCTCAAAAAATGAGCTTTTAGATTCTTTGGTTTTCTTTACTATTTTCTGCTTTACAGGTTTCTGCTCTTTAATATTCTCTTCTGTGAGTTTAATTTCATCTCTGACTAGTTTAAGGTAAAAGCTTAGATCACGGATTTGACACTTTTCTTCTTTTCCAATATAGGTGTGCTATCAAGTAGTAGTCCTCTGAATACTACTTTAGCTACGTCTCACAAATTCTCTTGTGTTGAGTTTTATTTCCCTTTAGATCAAAATACTTTCCGGTGTAAAATTTCAAATTCTTGCTTCTAATTTTCTTTTTTATTTCTTCTTTGACTTGTGTTACTGTGAAGTGTTTGTTTTCAAATACTTAGGATTTTCCAGAGAGCTTTGTTACTGACTTCTAATTTGATTTCACTGCAATCAGAAAACACTATGTGTGCCTCGAGTTCTTTCAAATCTGAGACTTGCTTTTATTTCTAACATGTCTATCTTAATTTAATAGTACATACTTGAAAAAGTATTCTGCTGTCATGAGATTTAATGTTCTATAAATGTCTATCAGGTCAAGTTGGCCAGTAGTGTTATTTGAATCTTCTATATCCCTATTCATTCTATTTGTATTATCAATTAAGGAGAGACAGAAGATGGTGGGTATGTCTATCCTTTGAGTTCTACTGGTTTTTGTTTCACTTTTTGGAAATTCTGCCTTTAGACAGATAAACATTTAGGATTGTTATGTCGTCTTCACAATGGACTGATTCTTTACCATTATGCAGCAACCCTCTTTAATCCTGGTGATATTTTTAACTCGGAAATTTACTTTAACACAGTCATTGCAGTTTTCTTTTGATTACTATTTGCATAACTTATCTTCTTCCACCCTCTAAAACTAAGAGTGTCATTATAGTGGGTGTTTTGGGGGCAGTGCCTAGGTGGCTTAGTTGGTTAAGTCTTGTCTCCCTGGTTAAGTGTTGTCTGCCTTAGGCTCTGGTCATGATCCCAGCATCCTGAGATCAAGCTCCACACTGGCCTTCCTACTCAGCAGGGAGTCCGCTTCTCCCTCTCCCTCTGCTGCTCCCTCTGCTTATGCTCTCTCACTCTCCAAATAATAAATAAAATCTTCAAAAAATAAAAATAAAAAATAAAGCAGGTATTTTGGGGAGAGCATAGCTGAATTTTTTTTAATTCCAATGTGACAATCTGTACTCTGTGTTTAAATCCATTTATATTGAATGTGATTGTTAATGTGTGAATTTAAATACAGCACTGCATTTGAGTTTAGAGAATTAAAATTTAGCAACAATGAATTTAACAAGTTAAACTCTCTTAGAAGTGCAAACTAAACTCTTACAAGTCTTAGAAGTGCTGAACTAGAGATTTTTTAAAGTATGCATTAAAAACATACCAGAATAAGTTCAAAAAGTGTTCCTTGGTCAACTTTCAGGAATTCTTGGTCCCAAACAGGAATATCATCTGTCCGCTTTTCTTTGTTCTCATCATCCTCAGGAGGAGGGGGGTCATCCTTGTGGTGGGTGCACCACTGAATGACCTGTAACAAAGTTCATTTCTCTGTGGCACTACATCACGAGGTACTCATTCCACTACTGGGGCAAGGTTATTCCTACACTGGGCTAAGAACTAGACAGAAGCTAACTTGAATGGCCAAATTAGTGGCCAGGCTTGAAAAGGAAAACTGAAGCTTGAAGAATCTTCACAACCCTTGAGGCTAGAAAATCTTAGAGAACAGCAAACCATGCAGATAGATTACTATACGTGACCACATTAAAAAAGCTCCTGTGCAAAAGAGACATGAAGTCAGACAGGATAATGAATAGAAAATACGTGCAACAGGAACAACCAGCAATGGATTACCCTCTAGAATAAATCGTAAAAAAGAATACAAAGCGGGGAACCTGGCTGGATTAGTCAGTAGGGCATGTGACTCTTAATCTCAGGATGCCCATGTCAGGCATAGAGCTTACTTAATAAAAAAAAGAAAATCACTACAAAGATATGGGCTACAGATATGAACAGGCTACTCACAAAAGAAATCTGAATACTCAAAAAAGAGAAAATGCTCAGTATTATTAGATGCAAAAAAAAAAAATCAACAGTCTAGTCAGGTCCTACTTTAGAATGACTAAAGGGGGGGGAAGAATCAAGATTTTGATACTCATCACTGTCAACAGTGTGAGGATAACATGAATTCTTATACTAGAGAGTGTAAATTGGCATAACCCTTTTCAAAAGTAATCTAGCAACTACCTAATGAAGGTAAGGATACAATATCACCAAGCAATTCTAAATACCCTTCACATATGCATGAGACTACCGGGTATAAGGATACAAGAAAAGCCGACATGTTCCCTTAGTAGGAGAATAAACAGATCAAGTTTCGAATCTGGTTAGATCACAAGTATCATCATTAAGACCAAAATGAACACTGAAAGTATTACAAGTTGTAGAATCTAGGTGATAGGTAAATGGGTATTTGCTGTGTAATATCACTTTCTGTATGACTAAATTTTCTTTAGAATATATAATGCTGGAGAAATAAAGCTGAAAAAAAAAATGGCAGAGCTGAGAAATTATACTGCCAGGATGTAAAAAAAAAAAAAAAAAAAAAAAAAGGAAAGAACTAGTTTTAGAAGGATAAGCCAAGCTAGGAGTTTTAAAGAAATAAACAATGCCTTTTTTAATAATTATTCTAGTTGTATAAAAAAAAAAAACAGCTTTCAATATTTGCTTATGTAGGGATTAAAAAAAAACTCTTAAAAGAGGATGTATGAAATGAATGTTGATTATCATTACTTGAGAGGGTTTCAGGTCAGATAGAGATAAGAATGGGAGATTTTACTGTATACTTTTATGTTTTAGATCATGCAATTATTCAATACATAAGCTTAAACATTCTTAAGACTTAATAATGAAAATAGGTTAAAAAAACTTACTCTCAGAAGTGGCTCTATAATCACCCAGCCCATCAACCCTGTCCTTCTTACTAATTCTTTGCTTGTTCACTATGCTCTAGTCACCACACTTGCCTCCCTTCCTTTCCTCAAAAGGTAGAGCATGCTCTTGTCTTAGGGTCACTGCACTTGCTCTCATTGCCCAGAATTCTCTTCCCCTACATATTAATTAATGTCTTTGTTTAAAGATCAACTTCTCAGGAAGGGATTTCCCTACCACTTTTATCTTAAAAATAGCTAATTCTCCACCAACCAACCCACTTATACTCCACAGCTTTTCCATCTGACATATTTCTTACATTATATATTTCCCCCACACCTTTAGAATGTTAGTTCCTAAGGGCAGAGATTTAGTCTCTGGTTTACTGCTATATCGCCAGCACCTAAAAAATATCTGGCATTTGAATGAGTGCAAACATCAGATGCATTTTGCATTAGTATAAAATAGAATGTTAACTCCAAGACAATACCCAGAAGATAAAATATAAAGCTTCTAAACCATAGAATACTATAAATGAGGTAAAACAATGCAAAGTAATAGAAACACTATATAAACAACTCTTGTAAAAAAGCCCACTGAACTACAAAATGGATGAATCCTGAAACCATTCTGCAAAGTGAAATAAGCCCGACAAAAAAAAAAAAAAAGACAAATACTGTATAATCCCACTTATAGGAGATACCGACAACAGTCCAATTCATATAGACAGACAATAGAATAGTGGTTACAAGGGGCTGGAGGTAGGAGTATTGAGGAGTTATTGTTTAATGGGTACATAGTTTCAGTTTGTAATGATGAAAAATTTCTGGAGATGGTGAGTGGTGGTAATTGCACAGCAATACAAATGTACTTAATGCCACTGAATTGCTCACTTAAAGTGAGAGTGGTAATTTTTATGTTATGTATATTTTATAACAATTTTTTTAAGTCCATAAGAAAGATGTGCAAAGGAAAACAAAGCAGAAAATATAAATGGCCAGTAACATATGTAAAAATTGTTCATGCTTAGAGAATCACTTTTTACCCACTCGAGGGCAATTAAAAGAACTGTTAATAGCCAATCATGGTAAGATATGAAAATATATGCAGCATAGCTGCATTTCACACCAGGGTCACGAGAAAGCAGGAGATGAAACTGCATATGGGCAATGACTTCTGAAAATCTCTGAGAAAGGGGCCAAATAGAACCAACCATTCCCATCTCTAATCCTAATTTCCTCTACCTTGTAAAAACTGAGTGGTCTTTCTCCAAATAAACATCCAATTGAATAGCTGGCTCTGTTAAGGAGCCTTGTGCCCTGAAACACTAAATTTGATTCAATGTAAAGAGCCTTTTATGCTTAAATATAAGGTAAGGTGAGCAATGGGGGTACATTTGTTCTCAAGCTCCCCTTGAGGCATAGCTTCAGTAGACAATTTTTTCCTTTTTCCTAAGCACATACTATTATTATTTCAGTAATTTAAATGTGTTAATCAAAAAAAAAAAAAAAACCTACACAACCTAGGGTGCCTGAGTAGCTCAGTCAGTTGTGTCCAACTCTTGATCTCAGTTCAGGTCTTAATTTCAGGGTGGTGAGTTCAAGCCCCATATTGGGCTCTACACTGGGCATGGAGCCTACTCAAATAAATAAACTGCACAACTCAAATATTCTCAGGGCCTGTTTAAATAAATACAACAAACATTTAGAATCATAATCCATCTGTGTAATGAAGCTACCTATGTAGCAGTATAGGAAGATCATCAGGATGTTAAGTGACAAAAGAAAAGTATACATATTCAAGCACATAGTTTGTTACCTTACCTTTTTTAATATTGCTGCGTTAACATTTGGTAGAGGAACTGGGTCATCATCTCCTTCATCATCCATTCCCAAATCTAAGAAAATTATATGAAGAGTTGCCATTATTTCCTAATTCTATTGTAAGATCGACACCAACCAGACGTGTCAAACAAGTACCTTGTAAAACATTGTCTAAAAGTCCTTGAAAAGTACTTTACTAAGAAATAGTCTCTTACAAGCATTTAAAATTAGCGGTTCCTAGTAAGTGGTCCATAAACCACCTAAAACTATATAAAACTGTGTTACTAGACAAATACAGGAAAATTACATAAACAGAATCCTTAAAGAGGAAGAAAAGTAACCTAATTAAGTGAGATTGAGATGACTTTGGGGTGGGGTGGGGGGGGGAAATCAAAGCCAGACTCCTAGTCTTCCTCTTTATACCAAACTCTCTAGATGGGATGAATTTAGAAAAATAAGACTAAAAAGTATTTCAAGTAACAGAATCTCAGTCTATTAAAATCTGAAGCCCAAAGAGATACACACACACACACACACACACACACACACACACACACACACACACAAATCATGCAGCCACTGACAAACAAAAATAAGGCAAGCAGAGCCATACATACTGGGTATGATTCCAGGATTAGAGTTTTTAAAAGCCAGGTATAAGAAAATAAATGTTACTGAATAAAAATGGGTATACACTTATATATTTAAAATATTTCCAGAAGATACATATGGAATTGTTAACAGTATCATGTGTAGGATTAATAATAATAATAAAAGTTAATAATGTGGGCTGAGGGACTCTGTTTCAGTGTATACCTGTTAGTGTTATTCATCACATATTATCCATAATTGTGAATCTATACATTGTCCTGGTAAAAAGCCTAACTTTCATATTCTCAAAGTGACTGGTAAACAAAAAAAACAAAACAACAAAAAAACCCTTAAAATTAAAATCCCTGTTAAAGATTCTAAATAAGAGTGTATTTTCATGCTAAGTGGGTTTGTTTGTCCTTCAGTCTCTATTATGACTAAAAAAGAGCTGCCCAAAGTTATTTGTTAGTAAGTATGAAGATTAGAGGCCAAAGTTACTTTAGCACTATATTGGTGGTAGCAGAGTACCAGTTATGCTGACATGGCCAGCATTGAGTCAAACCATTTGAGTTCCCGGTATGTAACAGGTGTCCTAGGTAGTGGAGTGAGCAGTGAATATAGAGGATACAAAGAATTGTTGCAATTGTAGACAGAACTGCTCAAAACGTCTCAGTGACAAGAGGACACCGTAGTAAAATCCTAAAGGAGAGAAAACACCTAAGTAGAGGAAATGACAAACGCAAAGTCCTTGTGATAGGATGCTCTGGCATGTTCTAATAACACTAAAGGAATCTAGTGTTACTACAGCAGGTTTAGCAAGGGTGAAAGGAGTAGATGAGACCAGTGACGGGACCTGATGGTAACAGGGCCCCATGCATTTTGGCTACTGTATTGGGAAGAGATGGTAAAGAGTGGCAGAGAAAAGATGGAAATCTACTATGGGGCTGGCAATAATCCAAGCACAAGATGGTGACTTGTACAGGTTTACAGCTACGGAAGAAGAAATGATTCAATTCTGTATGCATTTTGATGGCAGAGGCAATGGATGGGAAATAGAATGTGAGACAGGGAAGACAAAGGTTTATGACATAAGGAACTAGATGAAACTGCCAATGGAGTTGCCAATAACTGATAGGCAGAAGGCTGTCAGAGAACTGTTATTTTGAAGGGCTGGGAATTAAGAACTCTACCTTATTGAGTCTGAGGTACCTATTAGATAACCAAGGGTAGACCAAGCAGTTAATTAAATATGCCAAGTCTAAAAATCAAAAGAAGAGATCAGAATTGTAGGTAGTTTTGGGAATTGGTGTTTAGATGGCTTACAACACTATCAGGCTAGATGAGAAGACCAAAGGAATGAAGAAGTATAAATATGATGAAGACGTCCAATGATTAAGCCAGCCGTGAGGAACTACGGGCTTTAAAGATAGGAAGACAAAAAGCTCTGAGTGAAGTGACAAGTAAAGTATCCTGGAAGTCGGATGTAGAAGAGGATGATCAAATGTTGTCAACTGGTCTAGATGAGAAATCAAAGATGATGCACTTGACAACATGGAGGTCAATGAGCTTAACAGGCAGTTTTACTGGAGTGGTAAAGATTAGAGTATATTCAAAAAGAATCCTATTTTCCTGTATAGATGGATCATTCATTTCCCTTCCTACTTTCTACCAATGTTGTTCCCTGATCCCATCTCAATCTAAAGTAAAACTGTAAAAATGAGTGTGTCAATTTTGACTAAGCCACTTTTGCTTTTCCTGTACTAGTATGAAGTATTTTTAATCTGGGGGAGAAAATGAAGTTACACTATATAAAATACTTATGTTTGGGAATTTGAGATAGTAGAGGAAACATAATACAGAAGACTAACTTGTTTAGATCCAAACATTATATGGAAGAAAGGCTTATTAAGTCATATTAAAAATAAGGACCTTACAGTTGTAAAGGATCACTTCCCTAGCATTTAAACCAAGGATGTGCAATTCCTTTCTACTTTTAGACTGAATGCACAAGTATCAATAGTCATTCCTTTAAGCTATTTAGTTTCAAAGACTTCTGAAAGACACCTGTATCCTGATACCACATCCTGGACCTGAACAAATCAGTCAACTCACATGTACACATGCCAAGATTTTCACTTCTGATTATCCTGTGATTAGGTTTTATTTTTGTTTTGTTTTGTTTTGTTTTTAAGTCACAAAAAACCCATAATCAAAAATAAGAAAACCAGTTAAGTTGCCAAATTCAATAGACGCTAATTCTGAAGAGGCTAAAATTCTATATTCTTTAAGTACAACTGGTACTTAAAGTCATTCACCTCTAATGCCCAAAGGCTATGGAAGAAAAGAATCATATAACTGTTGCTATCACTCCACTTGCTTCAGTGATCTAAAGAGGCCTGGAAAACCTTCAAGGAGCCCTACGTTCCTACATGGCAAATGCTTCTTTGAAGCAGCACAGGAAAGATTAGTGTGCCAGACACCAACTAAGATGAAATAAAGAACACTTTCATTGCCAAAGCAAGAGTTCAGGCAGCAATTTTGGTATCAGTTTCTACACCTTCTAGGTAATGCCTTACTCACCTGCCTTTAGGGACACTTGGATTGCTTTCACACTCTTTATTAGTGACCATACCATAGTTCTTCATTCAACAGGTACTTGATGAACAGTGACTGTGGGATGTACCAAGGGGTTTACAACTTAATAGAAGTGATCTATTTTTGTAAATTATCAGGATACAGGACTGTAAGTGCCATAGGAGTGGTACCAATTACCAAAAAAGAGTTACACGTTCAGCTTTTATCAGCAAACAGAAGTCACCAGCTTAGAAAACAGAAGACACACCCTCTGCAATTTAGCTTTTGCTTCTACCATACCTAATAAATGCAGTAAGTAATGCTCTAACTTACTGTGAAATCTCAAATGACCAGAGTATAGTATATGAATCTGATAATCATTCTGGTCATCTCAAAATGCCTCCCTCTTCCCTTGGTTTCCACAAATCTTACTCCACTCATCTTCCACTTCTGACTTCTACTCACCTGACACCACCTGCCTCCCGTTCCAATATGGCTGACTGCCAATCTCATTTACTCCCATAAACACTCCTATAACCCACCACACAAACTCTATGTATCTCCAGCAGTCCACCAAGACTGGACCAAGAGCCACATAGATTATTACAAAAATCTTCTTGGGGGCAGGGAGGGGTTAAGTAAACATATCTAAGAAGTCATTTTCTTTCCATTTCTCTCAAACCCATTCTTCAGATCTACCAACTACAGTATCACAATCTCATTCTATAACAATAAACCCCAAATAAAAACCTCTACTTTCCTAGAACACATCTTGTCTACTTTACCTCAGAATCATCTCCTAAAACATTCTAATTTTACTGGAGCTGAAATATCACATCACTACTGCTACCCAATGTAGTCTCTCCACAAGCTTGAAAAGTAACATCAGCCAAGACGTTCCACCAGTACCACTTGGCACACTCTACTAACGCACTAATTACATGGTGTGACGGTTTGTGTTCTTTGGTGTCCTTCTCCCCAGCTAGTTTACAAATTCAAGAGCAAAGACTATTTCTCACTCACCTTCCTTTCACTGCACTTTTCACTTAAGTATAAGCTAAATAAAAACCTTTGATATTCGAGTACTTAACATCCTTATTACTAATTTTTTTCACCAATGCTAGAAATTGATTTGTAATGTCTCCATATACTATTACTGTCCACCAACCCAGTAATAATGTTAAGAAAAGATTCATTTTTAACTAGTAAAGTTCTAAAATGTTTCAGAGCCTGTTTTCTAACCTTAATTCTTCAATGTGTCATGTATATGCTTTGCAGCAGTTTCAGGGGAATGACAAAATGGACAAAAGGAAAAACTCAGTCAAAAAAAAAAAAAAGGACATCTCAGTTTACCATCTACTCAGCTTACTTCTCTGTTGAAACAAAGGACTCTATTTAGATATCATATAGGAATGTATCTCTTTTCCAGAGCCTTTTATTTTTCTCATTAGAAACTGTGAATCCAAATTCACTCGATAATTAGGCCATTGTCTGATGCTTAGAAATCACTTCAATATTAGCTTATGATCTTATTTATTTAGTAATGAAAAAAATCCATTAATTCAGACAATGCAGAAAATATCCTCTATCAAAAAGATGCAGTTAATTCTTTAATTCAAAAAATGTAAACTTTACCCCTTCATACTCTTGAGCATTTAATGACAAATCGTGACTTGTTTAACTTCAATGTTCACAGGTTACCTCCAACTAAACATTACTTCCTTTTTCCCCTGTCCCAGGTTTTCTAATAAACTTACCTTCCAACATGGTCTTGATAGTCACAGACTGTTTGGCAATTTCAACATCAACTTCAAATATCTCTCCATCAGAACTCTGCAACTTAATTGAAGGCATCTAAAAAAAAGGTACTACACTGAATTGAAATATAAGAGATACTACTTTTTTACATTTCATCAACTAGTCTGTTGTTAAAAGACATCTAACATATTAACTATAAAATCCTAACGACCTGTAGTATATATATAATCCTGTAAAACACAGCCAGTGGTTATTCCCAGGCTAGCATAGAAGTATTGCTATCAATTTTTTCAAAGTGTAACTCCTAGGAATACAAGCTTTTAATTTTAAGGCTTGCCCTACTGAACTTATTACTGGTATAAATTTTAGAGTTACATTCTGTATTTTTAATGTAAGATATATTTAAAATAAACTATTCAGTCTGAGCCTGCATTTTGTTGTTGCTGGTGTTTTTTCTAAAGCTTTATTTATTTTGGGACGCCTGGGTGGCTCAGTTGGTTAAGCATCTGTCTTCAGCTTAGGTCATGATCCCACGGTCCTGGGGTCGAGCCCCACATCGAGCTCCCTGTTCAGTAGGATGTCTGCTTCTCCCTCTCCCTGCCGCTCCCTGTGCTGGTGCTCTGTCAAATAAATAAATAAAACCTTAAAAAAAGAGAGAGAGAGAGAGAGATTTTAAAGAGAGAGCTCTAGAGGATGCATACACACACTTATGCATGCAGGGGAGGGGCAGAGGGAGAGAATCTTAAGCAGACTCTGCTGACAGGGAGCCCCACGAAGGACTCAATCCTACCACCCTGAGATCAGGACTGGAGTCAAAATTCAGAGTCAGAGGCTTAACCAACTACGTCACCCAGCACCCATTTGCCTGCCTTTCTGCTGTCACTGAATGCTGACTACTCTCATCTGAATAGTTAATTGTCACAATAAACCTCCTGCAAAGCTGAGGGTGGTCAGTCCAAAATAAATGAAGTTACCAAGTAAGATACAAATGTTCCAATAGTGAGACTTACCAGTAAAAAATGAGTTCAGATCTGAGGAGTGTTATGAGAATATTCTTATTTTATGTTTGCATTAATGTAAAATATACAAGATAATAATATATTTAAGGACAAACAAATGTCAATCTCATCTGCTAAACTAAAAGTACTTAAATTTAACAGTCCTTTTTATCTTCCATTACTGACTGTCCAGGTGTCCAAATTTGAGTTCTCCTGCTAAAATAAAATCCTCAGAGAAATAACCTGTTACTAGCTTCAAAAATGTATTTATTACCTCAGACTAATTCTGGGTCACTGGGAAAAAGATAGCTCTTAGATAAAAATTAAGCAATTAACTACAAAGGACTTGAGTTCTAGCAAAACCAAAAAACCCCACTTCTTTAAAATGAAAAGTTCCAAGCCATCAATTTCTTATCTTCAGATTCTTAGGGGAAGTAGGAAGAGCAGCAATACCCGACTCTAAACATTACTTTACAGTCCCTTCAAATTTCAAATAAATATTTTACAGGCCCATGCTTCTCAGGTATTCATAATCCTGCAATGGCCCTATTAACTCTAGAGTGTAGAATTCGCCATTTAAAATATTTACTGCACCGGGGATCCCTGGGTGGCGCAGCTGTTTGGCGCCTGCCTTTGGCCCAGGGCGCGATCCTGGAGACCCGGGATCGAATCCCACGTCGGGCTCCCGGTGCATGGAGCCTGCTTCTCCCTCTGCCTGTGTCTCTGCCTCTCTCTCTCTCTCTCTCTCTGTATGACTATCGTAAATAAAAAAAAAATAAAAATAAAAAAATAAAAATAAAATATTTACTGCACCTATTTTAGGATCAAAGATTCCAAACCCATTAAATCAGTTAAAATATTCATTCCACTTTTCTTAGACAATTATCTCTATTACCCAAATAAGCTGTTAGAGAAAGGAAGCAAAAAAAGGTAAAGCTCTGTTTTAAAATCAGCCACTGCAATATCCTGCTCTCACTCGTCCAGGGCTGGAGAGAATCAGATTTCACTTTTCAGTTCACAAATATGTCTATTCCTCCATGTTGCTTAGTGCTTGCCAATAATGCAGTTGTCCTATTCAATGGAGAAGGGCCCAGAGCAGAGGACCCTCCCTGTGACAGTAACAAAAGATATCCCTCCCAAAACTATTTTAATGTGAATCCAATTTTTAATTACAAAACATTCTATGCTCTTTTTATATTCCATAGTACTGCAATCGGCACTTCTACAGAAAGGCAAGCTTGGCAATACAATTGATAAAATTACTTGTAAGCACAATGACCATTTCATATTGCTTTCAAGTAACTGTTGGTAAATAACCAGATCTGCTTAGTCATAGTCAAATTCCTGTATTATATTACTCTTTTTTTTTTTTTTAATTTATGATAGTCACACAGAATGAGAGAGAGAGGCAGAGACACAGGCAGAGGGAGAAGCAGGCTCCATGCAGGGAGCCCGATATAGGACTCGATCCCGGGTCTCCAGGATTGCGCCCTGGGCCAAAGGCAGGTGCCAAACCGCTGCGCCACCCAGGGATCCCTGTATTATATTACTCTTAAGGGAGTTGAGATCTTATTAAATAAGCAGGGAGGCAATGGGCTCATTTGTAATCGAATTCACTTTGTGATCCCAAACTTAATACTTCAAAGAGTCGTTTTGTTTTCGTTTTTTACTGTCACAGAGTTGGAATTCAGGACAAAACTGTAATGATGATAATGGACGAGATTCTGATTTGACATGCTTTCAAGACAATTCCTTAAGCTTCTGATCTTGAAAATCAATCACCTTCCATTACTGGCATGAAACAGATTCTATCAACAACATAAGAGAAACCTGTGTTTTCAGTGACCCGAATTGTGACACTTTTTTGAGAGCAGAATGGAGAACTCTACGTTGCTCTATGACACAGATACATTCTATCGTGACGCTCTGGTGAAAAATTCATGACCCCAGAACCCAACCTGAGATCCTTATCCAGGTGAACGTCCTATCCCCGTTAAAACTTAAAAGCAGCCTGGCTTCGAAAGAGTTAGGCCTCCTAAAAGTCACACCACGATGACGAGAACATCTGGCTATTTCAACAGTTGTTTCAGCAACTCCAAGCTGTGGCAAAATAATGGAGAGAAATATTCTGAAGCAGCAGGCGGCCTGCCGGGCAGACGTGCGGCCCAAGCAGTTCGCCGCGGCTTACTGTGGCTAGTGACGCCAGATACAAGGAAGAGAAAAGAAGATGGGAGCGAAAAAACCCAGCGCTCCCGGACTCCCCCCGCCACGCTCCTTCCGGACGCCGAGACAACAAACAGGCACGCACGCCCACGCCGGCCTAGGGTCCTCCGCCGACAGCCCCGCCGACAGCCCCGCCGCCACCCCCACCCCCACCCCCACCCCCACGCGGTCCCCGAGGCCGGCAGGCTCACGGCCAACCGAGGCCCCGGGCCGCAGCCTGGGCCTCGCGGCCGAGCTCCGCGCAGGCAGGCGGACCCTCGCCCCTTGCGAGGAGGGGCCACTCTCCGGCCCGGCTCGCACCTTCTCCCGGCCGCCCCAGCGCCCCCGAGGCGTCGTGAGGACGCGCGGCCAGGCGAGGGGCTCGCCGGCACCTCCCGGGAACAGGGTCGGCGACGGGCTGCGCTGGGCCTGAGGGAGGCCTGGCCCAGGTGCCTCCCTCCAGCCTCCCGCCTCCCGCCTCCCGCCTCGGGCGGGCCGAGGCCTCCGCCCAGCCCGCAATCCACCGCACCACCGCCCCTTCGCGTTCGGTCGGCGGCTACTCACGGTGCTCGGTCTGGAGCCGACGGCGGGCTGGAGGCTGACAAGAGCGGAGCACCCTCGCCGGCCAGAGGAGAAAGGGGGAGAACAAGGCCTCTACGGCGGCGCGGCGCGGCGTCGGCCTTATAAGGGCGGGCGCAGGCGCTGAGGACCCCGGGGCCGCGGCGTCACAGAGCCGGCGGGGCTGGCCGCCGAGATCGCCTGACGCAGGCGGAGACAGCGGGGCGGAGGGGCGGGCGCTACGGCGCGGGGGCGGGGCTTCGCTCTGACCCCCCCCCCCGCATTCCACCCCCGCCCCACCCCGCCCCACCCGCCTCACCCGCGAAGCCGCGGCTCGCGGTCCTGCAAGCAGAACCGCGGGACCGGCTGGGATGCTCCGCCGCCTGCAAGGGTCCTTCAGGCAGGGGCTGGCCTCTGCCGGGTTAAAGACTCCCGCCGTGGAAAGCCTTGAAACTGCTAGTGAGCGTGTGGGCGCCGAGGGCTGGTGTCGGGGAGGGGCTGCGCACCCCCCCCTTCAGGACGGGGAAAGGGGCCCCGGGGGAGGAATGACAGCTGGGCGTTGCGGTCACCGCTCTGAGACTCCGCTCGGTGCCTCAGTGACATCCCCGAGCCCAGCGTGCGGTAGCTCACTCTCCGGGGTAACCCGTGAGGTTGAAGTGTCGTTGCCCTCTCCCCGCTTTGGACCTCCGGACACGTGCAGACCAACGCAGCTTAGTGCTCTCCAGCTTGCGTCCTACCGTTGTTTTCCCAAGAGGCCTCCAGGCCGGAGGAGCCATTGTTGCAGAGGACCCCGAGTCTGGAAAGGAGGCCTCTCTGGAAGCAAATTCGTGTACTGAGCAGACGTGCGTGTGAGGCCGGGCAGCAGGATTCTAGGGGTGAACCAGGCAGCCTGGGAGGGTGCAGCCTGCACAGAACTCTTGCTATGGGATGTTCCCTGAAGTCTGCTGGGTCCATAGGATGAAGCTAACGCTAAAGGAAAGGGAGTTTGTGACAAAACACCCCCCCCACCCCTCCCAGCCCAGCCCCACGCCCTGCAGTCGGGCTCTGCGGGACTCTGCTGTGTTGCTGCTTGGTGAGCATTGCCACCCCTCTCGGCCGGCCGACTAAGGCGCCTGGCTCACCTAACCACCGAGCATGTGATGGGATTCCTGACGCCAGGGAGACAAAAGACACTTCCACACAGGGCCCCCTAAAGAAATCAGAGGCCTACAGCTCTTCTGGGATGGGACTGGGCAGGGAAGCCAAGCAGCTTCTTGGGTTACCAGGTCTTTGTCTACAAGCTGTGGTATCCAGTGTCTGCCAGGTGCCACAGCTGATGGCAGGGAGATGAAAGGACCTACACCTCTCATACTTTTTTTTCCACAACACAGCCCTGCCCTCTGCAGCTCAGGACTCAGGTCCCCTAGGTAAGGCCCACTGGAGCCCCTTTGCTCCCTTGCCCGTGGCATACAGGTGACACCTTGCAAACTCCTGTTAAACATCCTGAGAAGGAAGGACTGAGCAATAATAGGTCACGTCTCCAGCCTGAGGACCCAGCATGGAGTAGGTGTATGCTTTTCCAAATATGTCTGGGGACCACCCGTGTTAGAATCACCGAGAGATGCTTGTTTTTCTTTTCTTTTTATTTATTTTTTAAAGATTTTATTTATTTATTCATGAGGGGCAGAGACATAGGCAGAGAGAGAAATAGGCTCCCTGCTGGGAACTCGTGTGGGACTTGATCCCAGCACTCTGGAATCACCACCTAAGCCAAAGGCAGACACTCAACCACTGAGCCACCCAGGTGCCTGAGATGTTTGTTTTCAAAATGCAGATTTCATTTATTCATATCTGGTCTATTATATTCATAGATTATCTCAGGAAAGTTACATAAGAAATTGCCTCATGGTGAAGGGAACCAGGTGACGAGGTTTAAGGGGCTGGAGTGATTTGTTCACTTTATACCCTTTTCCACCTTTTGGATTTTGATCCATATGAATATATTACATATTCAAAAACGTTTTACTTCAAAAAATAAGTTAGCATCAAGTCAAGAAAAATGCAGATTCCTGGGTCCACTCTTGATCTAATGAATCTGATTCCCTGGTGGCAGGTTTTCCTGCCTTTTTTTAAATTTTATTTATTCATGAGAGACACCGAGAGAGAGAGAGAGAGAGAGAGAGAGAGAGAGAGAGGCAGAGACAGAAGCAGGCTCCATGCAGGGAGCCTGATGTGGGACTCAATCCCGGGACTCCAGGACCACACCCTGGGCCGAAGGCAGACACCCAACCACTGAGCCACCCAGGCATCCCGGTTTTCCTGCCTTTTAAACAAGTTTTCCAAGTGATTCTTAAGCCGAGGGTTAGTTGAGAAACCACTGTAGTAGGGTCTCAGTGATGAATTACTGCTAAGAAGGGCCCAGCAGTGTCTGTCAAAGGTGACTCATTTAGGGGCACCTGACTGGCTCAGTGGTTGAGTCTCTGCTTTTGGCTCAGGTTGTGGTCTCAGGGTACTGGGATCGAGTCCCGCATCAGGCTCCCCACAGGGAGCCTGCTTCTCCCTCTGCCTATTTCTCTGCCTCTCTCTGTGTCTCTCATGAATAATTTTTTTTAAAGGTGACTCATTTAGCCCCACACTTTCTGAATCAGCCCTCCCCTCCTTCAAACTCTCCTTCTAGGATGGACAAGGCAATTGGAGGACTGTCAGGTGCAGGCTGATGATTACTCATCCCCACTCATTTATCCATAATCACCAACCCAGGTCAGAAAGGACTGGCCCCCACAGAGTCCCCTTGCTGGGTAAGAGTGCGAGGAAATAGGGATTCCTCTAACTTCAAAGCTGGCCCTGAGAAGGCTGAGGTCCTGTCCTTACTTCAGCCACTCCACACACCATGTAATCAAAGCTCTTTGTTCTGCAGAGGAAGGAAATAAAACCAAAGAGAAGGGACATTTCCATTGTCAGAAAGCCACTGTGTGGAACAAGGTTGAGGCTCCAGTCCCAGCTATGTTGCTGCTACCACAGCCCAAATACTGAATTGTAGCTACATCCCTCAAATGCTAGGAATATTTTCTGATTTACTACTGTTTCCAGCATACTACTTGCAGAGAAGCTAAAGGGCTCACATTCAAGTCCAGGTGGGAAAATCTGCTTTTTATGGTGAATTCATTTCCAGGGATTATCTCGCTTTGTAAATCGAGTTTCATTGCTATAAAGAGTTCACAGGAGAATTCCTATGAGGACCAGTTCTCTCAGTGCATCTAAAATGGGACTTTGCTGCCCAGAATTCAGTTCACACTCCCTTTGTCAGGCACCTACCCATGGGACTAACTGAATCTGGAGGTGTGTTCCAGCCCATAGGACAGCATGTAAGCGGAGAAGTAATCCAGTTCCCAGGAGATCTCCGACCTTCTTTCTTCCTTTTTCCAAACTCTAAGCCTTCCATCTAAAAGCCAGACTACCTTATTACTCTAGAAGAGAAAGGGCTGGATGTAAAGAAAAAAGTCAAATTTTTGGATCTTGATTTGCAAAATGAACTCTTAGAATAAATGGACTCTTTAGAGCAAGAAGGTTTTTTGGAGCAAAAAGCCCAAGACGCTGAAGGACTCGAATCTTAAATGGTATAACAGCAACAGCAGTGTTAGGAAAAAGAAGGTATGATGATACCAGAACCAATTTTCCCAAAGGATAGGGGTGGGGGGAAAATTGAGGCAAAGGGAGCATTGCAGTTAACCACTGGGGTGGGTCTCTGAGAAAGGACTCCTCCCATCCTCTCTGCGCAGCGATAGAGCTTACTAACCCCAGAAAGGTTTGTGGGCTCTCAGGATGGAAAGAATCTATGCCTTGGTCTCTGAGAAAGGGCTAAAGTCTTCCATGATGAGAAAATATGGGATCAGTTAAGTAGAAATGGCAGCTGGGTGTGTTTAGGCAAGTGGGCCTGGAAGTGTGTCAGGCTCAGGCCTCATGAGTAGGGATCTCAGAGACTCTCTAAATGTGTCCTGGAGCCCTAAAACAGCATGGAAGTTGCTCAAAGAGGAGAGAGATGACCAGGAAGGGGCTTGTGAAATGTAATTAAGGGAACTCAGATGAACCTAGGTCAACTGACACTGTCCAAGCCAAAAGCCATGACACAAATGCATCCGTCTGTGGGCATAGCAGAAACCAAGGATGACAACTTACAACCAGGTGTTGCTGCCTCCCTGCAGAGTACAGGAAGATGGGTGATGGATAATGGATGATGACCAATGACCAGACAACCTCCAACCCTCTCCTCCCACTCCACGCCATGACCACATCAGCTCTGCATGATGTAGCTCTGACCCTAGATAGAAAAGGGACAAAAAGGGATCCCTGGGTGGCTTAGCGGTTTAGTGCCTGCCTTTGGCCCAGGGTGTGATGCTGGAGTCCCAGGATCGAGTCCCACATGGGGCTCCCTGCATGGAGCCTGTTTCTCCCTCTGCCTGTGTCTCTGCCTCTCTCTCTCTCTCTCTGTGTCTCTCATGAATAAATAAATAAAATCTTAAAAAAAAGGAAAAGGAACAAAAATCCTCAATTTGACCGCATGTACCCCCGAAGTGACTTAATGATCATACACTCCCTTGGCTGACTGTGCCAGGAAGTAAGCAAATTACATTTCTGCTATCAAATGGAATAGAGAGCAAGTAAGAAAACAAAAGACCTATCATTTTGGCATAGCCACGTTTTCTGATTTTAAAATTGTATATGGCCACAGGGGGACAAGGATCCTGCAGACTGGTTGCTGCCCACTTGCTGCTTACATCCTGTGTCATCGTGGGATATGTGGCCGCCTCTGTCCTTTGTAGCCTCAGTCTTCTTGTCTGTAAAATGGGGCTTACAGCACTATCTGCCTCACAGGATTTTTGTGAAAATTAATTATTTTAGTCACTAGGACGGCCAAACTTAATAGCTTGGCCATACCAGCTGTTGGCAAGGACAAAGAACAATTGCAACACATGCTGCTGGTGGGAGAGCAGATCGGTACACCAGAAAATTGGCAGTCTACTAAAATTAAACATACATATGCCCAATGGCTCAGTAATTCCAATTATGGACAAATATCCAACAGGAATACATTCTCTTGTCTACCAAAAAATATGTTTAAGAATGTTACAGTGGGACACCTGG